TTAAAGATTTTATTATTTTTTATTAATAAAATTTTTAATAATTTTAATTTTTCTCTAATTGCAGATTCTCTCTAAATGCATGTCAAAGTACTGGTCCCGACAACATGCACTTGGAGGAAGTCGACTATACTTATTACTGTAATTATTGTAATTATTGTAATTTTCCTTATTCCTGTTTTTTGTCTAGTTCTGAAAATTTACCAAATTTTTCTAATTCTCATAATTTTGGGAATTCCTGGAATTTTGCCAATAAACCCAATTTGGAATACCCAAGTTATGAGGCCACATGCTTGTGGTCAGATCATGTTTTCGGTCTCACATTTTTCTCTTGCTTGCTTTATACCTCTAGATATAAAATTTGGATAGTATACAGGCAAAGGTTAAATTGGTGCTTCCTTTTTTCTAACTTTTTTTTCTGGTAATAGCTTTCTACCAGGATTAAAGATTTGAGTTCGTAACTGACATATTGATGAGTATCAGAGAGTGTCTATTTCCTTATAGATAAGTCTTTTAAATTTGATTGTTTTTTTCATTCACCATTCACAGGACTTACTGAAACCTTCTATGGAGGTTTTCAAAGATTTTTGACAATGGATAGGTGTTAGTTTAGAATTTTTCATATTATTATCTAGACTCAGTTCAGTAGGTCTTTCATGCTCTTTGAATGCTTCATCTTTATTATTATTATTATTTTTTTTCAGCTCAGAATTCTTTGGCTCTTTCTATTTTGTGGGCTTTTTGGCACTTATTAATATTGGATTTATCTTTTTCTAAACAAATTCCAATCTAATTGCAAAGGTGAGTTCGAAGATTTTTCATTCTTGTTTCCAGTTCTATTTTCGTGGCAGCAATCAAGACTGGATATTTCTTTATCGAGCTCCTTATTGGCAGATGTCTTATTTTCATTATTCCTCTGTTTTCACCTATGTTAGCAGGTTTTCAGTTTGGATCAGGTGCCTTATACTCATCTATTTTTGTATTCAAACTTTTTCTCTTTTTTTTTAAGATTTGATTCAGTAGGTCTTTTCATAATCTTTTTCTCGATTAATTGGTCTTCGTGATCGATTTAGCTTCTTTTATTCGTAGTACTTTGTCATTTCTTCTGCTACTTGAAATTTATTTCCCGTAATCATTATTAGGAGATGACTTTTCATTGCCAACTCGATTTTGCTGTTTCTTCTTCTCATGCAGTACTTATTTATGTGCCAGCAACAGGCTTATTTACATGGCTTACAGGTCTCTCAAAATTAACTTCTAACTTGTCAGCAATGGGTCTTCTTTTTAAAAGATTCGTTAGGAGGTTGTGGCATGGTTTGTTAGTCTCTTTAGCCAAATTTTCTCACCAGTATGTTAGCTTTGATGCTTGGGACTCAGTATGTTGGTTTAAGCAAGTACAAATTCTTTATGGCACTGGTTTATTAGCACCTTTGCTGATTCAACTTCTTTTCTTTTCGTATCTCATGGTTCACCACCAAAATGTCAGACCCAGAAATGGCGGGTCTATCGCTAAATCGAAAGTAGGTCTGTGTAACCAAAACCCAGGTTGCTTTAGGGTCAAAAGAGGCGTGTTAGATTTGGGCGAGTGGTTTATAGAGAATGTATGTAGTTAGTATGGCATGTTTATATGACTTAGGTACTTTATTATTTAGTAAATCGGGTGTTAACTATCTTCCCGAAGGGCCAACAGGCCTTTATTTATAATTAACGCACTATCTATTTTTACATACAGAATACGCCGTTTTCCCAGAATTATACTTATTACTGTAATTATTGTAATTATTGTAATTCTCCTTATTCCCGTTTTTCGCCTAATTCTGAAAATTCCCTAATTCTCGTAATTCCGGGAATTCCGCCGGTAAACCCAATTTGGAATGCCCGAGTCACGAGGCCACGTGCCTGCGGTCAGGTCACGTTTCCGTGTAAAACACCATAGATGCGTTTTAGTAAAATCCAAGTTTTTATTAAATGAATTTCTTTTTACTTCTGATTTTATAATTTAGATATATATATAACAATTATTTTTTTTATTAAACCGTGAACCTTAAAGTTATATTACAGAAAATAACTACTGAGGGTTTATTTGTGATATTAAATTTACAGGATTATTATACATAATTTTATACTTTATTTCTCTAAGTGTTTTTTTCAATCGCCAGTCCGGTTTAATTCCTTTTTCAGACATATATTTAAGTAATGCTAATGCTTGATTAAAATGACCGTGATTCAAGTAACCTGTAATTAGGTGATAAAAAGTCCATGCATTTGGTTCAACACCGTATATATTTTCCATTTGTCGCAATAAATCCATTGCTGCATCCATCTCATTCTGCATAGTATATGCTTGTATAACAATATTAAATGTTAAAGCATTAAGTTGCAACGCTCGTGTAATGGGATGATGGAATAAGAGTCGTTTGGCTTCATCCATATCTTTGGCAACGTTTGCATAACCTGAGATGAGACTATTAAAAATATAAAGATTGGGTTTTTGATCCTCTGTTTCAAGAAGCATGTCAAAGAGCTTACGTGCTCTTGATAGATCATTTAGTCTTATATATAGATTTAGTACAATAGATATTGTATATATATTTGGTCGAATTTTAGATAAGAGCATATCGTCAAGCAAGAAAATAATTTCTTTTAGATTTATTTTTTGAGAGTAACCCCAAATTAAAAGATTGTATGTGTTGACATCACCGGTTATTGACCTTAATGACATATCACGGTATAAGCACTGCGCATTATTCATGTCTTCCAGTTTTACAAATCCTTCAATTAAAATGTTGTACAAAACCAAAGTTGGTTCTGCTCCTAATTTGCGCATTTCATCGTAGAGCTCCTTGACTTTGTCACTATATCGCCCTGTGAATAAGTTTCGCATGATTATTTCAAACGTATGAATGTCTTTACTTGGCCCACTTGTAATCATATCTTGATAAATCTGTATTAGTTTTGTAGTACTTCCGAGAGTTGCGAACCATTCCAGACGATTAAAAAGGGTCATTCGTTTTAATACGATTGCTGAATATTCATGCGCTTCTTTAGAACTTAGTTTTTCAAGTAGTTTATTTCGTGTTAAAGTATTCAACGTGCTTTCTGATGGATGTAACCCAGCTTCTTGAATCATATCAAGAATTCTAACTGCTTGATTCCAATCTTTGCGCGATATTTGACGATTTAACAAAATGTTAAAAGTAACAATATCAGGATGTACGCCAACACGAATCATATCTTCTATTATCTTCCAAGCAGTACTTAAATCATCAGATTTGCAGACACTATCTATCAGTCTATTATAAGTCCATACATCTGGATAGTAACCTTTGGATATCATGTCATTATAACATTGTAACGCATGTTGCACCAAGCTATGTTCAGAAGCCAATTTGTCTATAACTTCACGAAAAATCAACTTGTGTACTTTTCCTTTTCTCGTTAATTCACTATAAGCTAGGCCAACCTTGTATGCTGGAATTCTTTTTAATGCGTTATCTACTTTTGCGGAAGCTATATCATCGGAATTTTCCGTTATCTTTGTAAAAAATAAATCATTATAAAATTTAAGGATCAAATACGGATTTTGAGTCTTCTTAACAACCTTGCGTACATCAACATGAAAAATTCGCGAGAACTGTACTCCTTTGGATAGACCTTGTATATAAATAGCTATCGCAGATTCTATACATTTTGTCGTGACATACAGCTTGAACCGCCATTGATGTAACTCTGCAGAATCGATAGGTGCTGGCATAGTTGTTAGGCGAAGCCATTTTTGCATGATGAAATTAAACCGATGAATGATTTAAAATTTTCAAAAGTACGGTAACATTTTTTACGTTACACCAGATTGTATATCAAGTGTTCGATCATTGTACAGTAGTAAAATGCAGGAGATTGTCGGAGATTGGCCCGGGTAATCTCGTAATGAGAAGACTTTAGACGATTGCTTCGCTCACAAAAAAAAACCTAAAAAAGAAAAGGATCGTAGTTTGCAATCGGAATTATTCGGGAACATTAATGTGTCATGTTTTAAAAAAAATTTTTATAATTTATATAAAGCCATCCAAAAAATCTAGTTGCTGGTTGACTCTTTAAACCATGCCTTTCGACGCTTGTGAGTTTAACTATTATTTATCTTATAAATTATCATTGATCTATATAAAACAATTTTAACACTGTTGATTGATACTGGTTTATTAACTAGCTAAAGCCAATGCTACCAACGGTGCAAAACTGTAAGTCGAAACTTTTAAAATCTGTCATGATAAGTGATTTTAGTTTTAATTTTATAATGCTTTAATTTTTTTAATGTATAGCTTTAAGACTCGTTGCGCCCAATGCCATACTTGCGATAAAGATGGTGGTAACAAAGTTGGACCAAATCTTCATGGTCTTTTTGGCAGGAAATCCGGCCAGGTTTCTGGATTTACCTATACTGCTGCAAATCAAAACAAGGGTGTAATCTGGAAAGAAGATACCTTGTTTGATTATCTCGAAAATCCAAAAAAGTATTTATAAATTTCGAAACTATTGATTGAATGTATTATTTTTATATTAATTGATTTTGTTAATTTGAATTCAGATATATCCCTGGAACTAAAATGGCATTTGCAGGGTTTAAAAAGGAACAAGATCGTAATGACGTAATTGCTTATTTGAAAGAGTCAACGGCAAAATAATAGTTTTTAATAAAAGATTTATATTATATTATAAATATATCTGGTATTAAAATAATAAATATATAATTATAATTTTTTAAAATATACAAATTTAAATTTTAATTTAAATAATTAGTTTAAAAGTATAAAAAGTTATAAGTAATCACTATAGCATATACTGTATTATATTTTAAAAATATTTATTTAATATTATTTAATGGGTGTTATTTTATAGAGACATGTTTCCATGGAGACCCTATATGAATAACCAATCAAAATTGAGCATGTGACTATAGAATATACTGCTTATTATTGGCCAATTAAAATTAGCTAAAAATTTTAAAATTTTATAATAAAAAATAAAGAAAATATAAAAAAAAATTGTATTAATTCTAAAATATGATTGGTTGCTATATATAGGGTCTCTATGGAGACATGTCTTCACATACAATTTTCTTTATTTAATAATAAAAATTTTATGTTTTGATTTTATATTATAAAACATACTTATAGTATTTAGTATTATATTTAAACTGTAGGCAATTTGCCTAGAAAATTGCTATAAATTTGCTTATAATTTACTTTTTTAAAATTTAAAATATTTAAATAAAATTTTTTTATAAAATTTTTTTTTTATGTCAATATTAAAAGTTTTATTAGGATATAGAATAACTTGATACAATATTTACATATTATAATACATAGTTAAGATCTGTTAAAGGATTTTAAATCACTTGTATTACTAAAAAAATTTTTAGACACCTAGCATTAGTATTATACATAGAACATGTCCATACTATACATGCCACCGAAATTGATTTTTAAAAAAAGCCTATTTTGGGTTTTTAAAAATAAATTAAAATTTTTTATAAGGAAGTGCAAATAAAATTTATATATTTATATTTCTTATATTTTGGTATATTCAAAAAAAGTGTCAAAAAATTTTGGGTTTTAAATAAAATAGATCAAAAATAATTTCGGCAGCATGTATAGTCTATACTATATTTAATGTCTAATATTCAAGATTGTTTAAAATTATCTAAACCTATACTTCAAGTTTAAATAATCAATAAAGTAATTTAGAAAAATATATAATTATATATTTTTTTAGATTCTGGATTCATTTATAAAAAAATTAAAATAGATTATCTTAATAAAATTTTAAATAAATTTAATTTGAAAAAATGTTTAAAATTGTTTAAAATTATCCTATATATAACACTGCCTAACATGACACTACATCTTTATTTTATCTAACTTTTAAATCCAAAAATAATAAAATTAATAAAGATTTTAAAAGTGAATTAGATTTATTACAAACCTAACTCTTTCTAATGATCATTTGGACTACAACTTTTTACTAAAAAAAATATAGTATACTAGTATAAAACTTGCAGAGTTTGAATATAAGATGTGAGAAAAGGGACCCTAAGTCAGCAGCTATTATTTAGAGATAGTTCTCATATGCTACTTTGCTAATAGCTTTAGAGTTTATCACTTACTGCAGGCATGGCACTTATCATTTAGAAGTAGTTTTTATATACTACTTGCCAACAAGCCCAAAGTTTATTACTTACTGAAAAAACTAAGTACTGTGCAAGCTTTGGTATGAATATTGATTTTAGTAAAAAAAAAAAATCTACACTCCTTCAAGTGATTCCAAGTGTTTTTCTCTCTTTCTCATATTTTGCTAATATTACTAAAATTTTTAACAAAAAGTAAACATTTTAGCCAAAAAATCGGCATCACTTTCTATTTTCAGACAAACAAAGTAGAACATAAACACAGTATTGTTTTGGCAATAATGACCTACATACGTGACAAACTAATTGGCACTCTGATTAACGAACTAACTCAGACTGGATAGTAAAGTCAAAAGAAAATTTTAATGATAAGGCTACACAAACTTATACTATTGGTTTTCATATCCCGGCCGGGTTGGTAAGGTGGGGTTTTGAAATTTTAATTTTTTTAATATATTAGCCAATAGAAATTCTTTATGCATCTGGAAAATGTGTACCGGGTTGAGATTGGATGATCGTCCAAAAAGCTTCTGAACTAGAGACAAAAATTACATATTTACATATGTATGTTGTCTAGCTAATAAAATAAAATTACTTATTGTCGTTAGTTTATCATTATTTAAATTATAATAATCAATAATACTTTTCGTTTTTTTTTCTTGCAAAAAATAAAAGTGATTCGATATTTGTTATAAGTATGTATTTTATATTGTAAGCTTTACTTTGTTAATTATATGCAAGAAACCATCAAATTAGGACTTAGCAAACCAAAAAAAAATAGAATATATCAAATCTACCTATATCACTTTGCCAAAAACTTTCATTGCTTATGAGTCACAAGTTGAACCAAATATGAAAAAAGCAATGTTTGATCATCTAAAAGTGATATTAAAATTAGATTGGTATTTTAAATTTTAATTGATACTAATTCAGAATTTATTTAATACCTACATAGAATAAAGATCTAATAAGTATATTATATTTATTGAAAAGTTTTCAACTTATCATTAGTAATATTAACAATAATAGCCAACTTCTTGCCAATATTGAATATTTCAAAAAGGATATGAAATCTAAATCTTTATCAATAGACAAGTTAGCATCTTATCTATTTTACCAAATTTCATACAGTCAATGAATATGCAAAAAGAAAATATTGATCAATTTGAAAGAAAAGCATTAACGAAGAAAACAAACCAAATAGTTAAAAAGAAATAAATTATTATAATGTTAAAATTCAAGTTTATTTGTATTATTCTATGTATTAGATATATGTTATAAATTGTATTAAATATTGCTTTATATTATCTCTATAATTGAAAAATAAAGAAAAAAAAAAATATAAAAATTCGAAAACATTTTCCAGACTATTATTCGGACCACCATCCGAACCCAACCCGGTATACATTTTCCGGGTGCAATAATGTCAAAGATATGTAGAATGCATAATGCATGAAAATTAATCATAAATAGATAATTGAGCTTTGATATGTATTATTATGTAGAAGGTTGTGAATATTATAGCCAAAACATAACAATATATCATATGTTTTTAATGGTGTAAAAAATAAAGTTTAAATTTTTAATATATAAAAATTTTACTGGGTATCGTGGTTGTAAAAAAGTAAATTTTTAAATAATTTTTTTTTAAAAAAAATAAAAATCTGGGTCACTGGGTTATAAAAGATTACTTAGTGATATGAAAACCAATAGTATAAGTTTGTATGACCTAAGGCTTAGCTTTACAATAAAGATATACAAGATTTTTAAATTTAGTATATAATTTTTACAACTTGTGCTTGACACAGGCTATAATAGTGCTTTTATAGATTGTTTTTTTTTTATCTTTTTCTTCTTGTTTTATTTGTTTCTTTTTTTTTGTTTTCTTGTTGCTTAGGCAGTTTTTTTTATTTTCCACTTTCATGTTATTCTCTTTATCTTTTTAGTGTTACTTTTTTTTTTTTTATAAGTTAGTTGGAGACTATGAATTCTTCTGCTTGTGAAGCTAGAAGAAGAAGGTTTAGAAAAGATGGCAGTCTTGATAGGCCGTAAATACTATTTAGTGAAGTATTGAAGAATTCACTTGCAGGTTTTTTTGATATAGAGATAAACTTTATTATAGCAGATCGAACATGAGTAATTTGAATATTTCGATGTTGCAAAAAGCTGGGTTAGCTAATACTTGTAATTTAGGTGGTACTTTAGATAACTTTAGCAGAAAATAATATTTTACTTGTAAGTTAAATATTTTAGACTAATAAAGTATTAGCAAGATTGCCAAATTGTTAAAAAAAAAAAAAAGTGAATTAGGTAGGAAAAAACCTTGTTAGCTAATAAATAATAATGAAATTGAAAGTGAAAAGAGATTAAAAGAAAGCTATTTATATACAGTATATAATAGTTATAGTTGATTATATTTGCTAATGTAGTAGTAGGATTTTGTATATTTGAAGTGTTTTGAATATTGGAAGAGATAATAATAGATTTAGATTTTTTTACTTTAAATGTTATGCCTTTTAATTGTTCCTATTGATATTGCTTTTTATTGTATAGTTTCTATATTATGTCTTTAAACTAAGAGAATAGAAAGTTAAAAAGGTATATATAAAGTGTTTAAATATTTAGATTGGAAATTGTTTGAAAATTGGTTAAAATTTGTTTTGAATATACTGTAGCTCTTGAATAATATAGTAAAAATAGTTAGAATTAGAAATATTAGTTGATAAAAGATAATATGAAAGTTTTGTATTATTTGTAAAACATAGTTATCTCTTAAATTGTAATATAGGCAAATTTGTCTGCAAAGATTTTTACTAATTTTTTTAATATTTAAATTTTTTAATAAAATTTTAAATATTAATTT